CACCTTGCACTCCTATCCCAGGAACACGCAGCAAGAATTAAATAAGTGTCTTGCTGAAAGAACACCCTGAAATTGGAAAGGGTTTGCTGCCTCAGAACAATGAGAAATTGTATAAATTGAATTTCCTGTTTTTCCCTATGATACTGGAATGCAAATGTAATGCACGCGCGCGCGTGCGCGCGCGCGCACACACACACACACACACACACACACACACACACACACTACCCCACACGCTCCATTTTATCACATTACAAGCTTCCCTTAAGGCTTTCTTCAATGGCTGTGAAAGTTTCCTCTGGCCTCCCATGTATGCTGCTTGGCACAAAGGTCATTCCTTTAATTTCAAGTCCATTTCCACAACTTTTTCATCATGAGCACAAGAACCCTCCTGCTTCTCTCAGACTGTAATTGTATTTCTCTGTGTTGTGCAGCTTTTTAAAACCCTTCTTTTCCTTAAAAACTACCACACACAAACTCCAAACCTGAATTTTCATGAACATAATCTCCCAGTTTATCTTGCTTGCTATGACTGTGTTGCTGTATTTTTTAAGATTTATTCTTGTTAATTTTTACAATATTTGTTTTATTTATGTATATGCATGTTTACCTGAATGCATGCATATCACATGCATGCCTGGTGCCTTCAGAGGCCAGAAGAAGGCATTGGATCCCCTGAAACTGGGGTTACAGATGCTTGTGAGTCACCATGTGGGTGCTGAGATCTGAACCCAGATCCTCTGTAAGAACTGCAAGTACAGTTTTCTGTGCATAGGACTAAGAGAGAGGAAGGTGTCTTCCCTGCTCTCCACCTTGTTTATTGAGACAAAGTGGCTCACTAATCTGGCTGGCCAGCAAGCTCCACAGAGGTACTTATTTCCTTCTTCCCCTCACTGAACTGAAATGAAACTCATGTGCCATTATACATGGCTTTTTATAGCAGTCCAAAGATCTGAGCTCAGATCCTCATCCTTGGGTGACAAGCACTTTACTCACTGAGCCACCTCCTCTCCTCCTGTGTCTGACTTTTATCATAGGTATGTCCTTTAAAGGATGGATGGCCATTTTTGTTCAGTTTTAAAAAGCAGATGGTTCTGTTCAAAAGGATCAGTCTCAGTTTTTAAATGTTTTCCTAACATATAATTATCATCTACCAGAGACCCAAAAGTACTGTCAGTGTGACTGAAATCTGAATGTAAATATTTTATCAACAGCTGTCAAATCTCAATTGGCAGCAAATAGAAAGCCCCTGCATTGCTATCATCTAGGCAGGAGGCTACAGCACTTAATTGACAGATCAGACATTCTTCTGGTTTCCATGTTCCTGTCAGCATTTATAATGTATTTACATGGTATGCCACTCTACACAGTCGCTGTGACAATCAACATGAAGAGCAAGTAACTTTGCTGTGCTCTCTGGGAGACACCCAGCACAGGGTGGCTGCCTGCCTTTCAGTATGTTGCTTCAACTCATGGTGTCTGCTCCTGACATATACTGAATACTGGTAACAATGGGTTATTACCACGTCCATAAACAGATAAGGGTTTGCCATTAGCAGTTGGAAAACTCAGTGTTTTACTTTTTGAGTCTTCATTCAATCAACTTTCTGATTGTGAATGTGATCGGTTTAGCAAAAATAAAACAAAAATCTGTAGATACACATAGAAATGACATTTCACCCTCATTGTAGATCAAAGAGACCACTAAATTGAGATTCCTCAAGAGGTCTATCCAAACAATTTATGTTATTTTCTGCTTGGACCATTGCCTGCCACTCTGGCCGGTTGCTTAGCATTGTCCCCTAGGATTTTTTCCATTCTTATCCACTGAAGCAGCAGACATATTGGAGTAATCTATAAGCAGTGACTAAGTTCTTTGAGAGCAATTAAATCTACACTATTTTCTAACTCTGCAGCCACACCTTTAATAAATATAAGTCTCCATCAGGGAAGAGTGTGCTTTAGGGAATGAGAATAACAGACGAGGGAGAGACAACAAATTATAAACAACTGTGACCCAATTATAACTATCTTGCCCTTAAGCTATATCAGTATTTGCTAGCAATCAAATATTCTAATATGCTTTTAAAAGTTACATTTTTCAGTTTTAAATGGAATAGAACGTGGGTTCCCAGGTCAAGCCAGAGAGGAAGAGGATGTGTGTGAATGATTGGAAGTGCCAAATGGTGTGAAGTGTTAGCGAGCTGTGCCAAGGACCCAAGGGAGGAAACAATGAGATGCATTCAAGAAGAGAAAAAAAAAAAAAAAGGGTAAAGTCAGAGCTTATGAAATCGAAGAGAACAAGAATGAGTGAACTAGAACCCTTCAGACGTGCTAACTCATGGCAGTGTATTGCAGCTCGCTGCACACGTGTAGGACAGAAGAGGAGGGTTCAAGCAGGTCTTATTAGGTTTCCTGGAGTGGATTTTGTTGAGTATCCAATATGTTTCTGTGTAGCCAGCATGGAAGTCAAGTGATCATCAGGAAGCTAATGCCCTCATCTGAGAGGCAGTGGGATACCTTAGAGTAATGAGGAATGTGGCAAAAGATACCAGAGACATTTGGAGGAAAGTGAAGGAAAAAGGAGGAGCTGATAACCCAAGGATTGCAGGCCGAAAGAGGCACTTGGTCTTTCCTAAATATCAGAGAAAACCCAAGGAGGTGTGGGACAATTTTGTGTGATCAGCCTGAAAGAACATCTTTACACTTTCCACTCACAAAGAGCTGAGTTTCTCAAAAAGGCAAAACGACCTAAAAACAAAACAAAACAAACAAAAAACCCAAAACTATCCAGATGACTTGTCACCTGCCAGCCTGTCCCTTTCATTTCCGGCTTAGGGATTTTCCCCATTATTCAGTCCCCCCCCCTCCCTGGATGCAGCTCAGTGCCTTCCTCAGCACCTGGCATGATTGTTTTCTTGGAAAGAAATCTCATTACATAATTTAGTTTCTATCTACATTATTTCTTTTCTGGAACCAAATAAACATGATTAAAAATAATGGCTGTATGAAGAAGAATATTTGAGGTTGACATCATAGGATAAAATATGGATTTTGGTGGCCATACATAGACCACAATTTCTAAACATTTATTTCAAAAGTACAAAATAAGATAGAAGATGCTAGAAATTAGTACTGCATTTATTGCATTACCCAGGATCCAGGCAACTCCAATGTATCTCCATTCTCCCAGACCTGATGTTTTTTGTGTATATACTTTCCCTTTTTCCCCCAGAAAGGAATAGATTCACTTGGTTTACTTAATTTGATAAGTAAAATAATCTAATGGAAATCTTATGAACTCACAAAGTATTTCTTAGCTGAGCAGGCCCACTTAATAACTTAAAAAATATAACCAGCAACAGCACAGGCTCCTGGTATCACACTGCCAGGTGCAACATGGAGAAGGTCAACCAATAGTCCAAGTATAAAAGTCATGAATGCCACAGACTGGATAAAGTTCTTAACATCTTAGAGCTGTCTCATCATCTGCAAAATGCAGATAAAAGAAGTACACAACCTATCATACTGCTGTGAAGATTAAGTAAAGTGTGGGCAGATGTTGAGCATAAAGACCCAGTGTGAAGGCTATGAATCTGCTTGGTCCTCGATTGGATCTGAGTGTCAGATGACCCAATAAGCTCTGCTAAGTGATTGCATGAATATGCATTTGTGTGTGTGTACAAGTGTATGCTGTGTGTGTGTGTGTGTGTGTGTGTGTGTGTGTGTGTGTCTATAGTCTCTTCAGGGCTTACACTTATTTTCTCTTTCTGTTCCTCTGTTCCCAACCCCTATGGCTGTTCTGTATCTGTCTTTGAGATTGAAATATGAGGTTATGCCTCTCCACTAGGACCCTGAGACAGAAGCAAAGGAAAACATTTCAAAGTTAGTTCTTCCTAAGGAAACTTTCTTTAGGTATGTTGCCCAGAGTCCATTGGCTAGAACCAGATCAAACAGCTATAGCAGAGTGCTGGGGAGATGGGATGGGATGCTGTTTTATTTTTCCTCAGAGACAAGATTTCATGTGGTAGCCTGTCTAGCCTGAAACTCATGAAGCCTAAACTGGTTTAAGTTCATGGCAATCTTTCTGCCTCAGTTTCCTGAGTACCAGAGTTATAGTTATGAGTCATTGTACCCTTTATGATGTAAACCTTTTAGTTGAAGTGTTATTCTGTCCTTCACAGCATCAAGTTTTTGTCAGGAAGGAAGAATGCATTTTGGGTAGCATAGTAACAGTGTTTACTGGATAGAAAAAGTTGTCAGCAATAACATGGAAAGAAAATTGTGCTGTCTCATACCTTCTCTTTCTTTATTCTCACAATCTGAATTTGGACCACTTGAACAAAAACAATATAAATCAAAGGACAGTTCTTAACCTAGCAGATTTGTAGAAGCATACCACCTCCCCAGAAGCTATTCAAGAATATGCATGTACAGTGATATGTTTGTATAAACTAAGAAATGTGATGGTAACGCAAATATTCTGCATTCTGATGTTGTTGAGGTAAATTATTATATCTATCTATCTATCTATCTATCTATCTGTATATCTATCACCTATCAATCAATCATCTACATATCTGTCATCTATTTACCATCTATTTATCATCTCTATACACACACACACACACACACACATATTTAAAATAAAGTCAGCTTGGTTCAATTTCACTTAGCATGCCTTGACTTTAAATTTGAATCAGATGATTAAATGACAGAGTTATTTCTACTAAGATACAATTGAGCAATTGAGCATGTCTGTATAGTCATATCAAGATGCACACAGTCTGGAAATAAATGCGAACAAATTGTAATGACAAGTATGTATATAGACGCCATGGTGAAATCCATTATCTATAAGGGGAATAGGTGATGCAAACAGCATAAAATTTAAGTTGTCCCCCAAACCAACTCATAATTTGTATTTATCACTGGTTAGTTCTTACAGATCAAGGCATCAATTCCCTTGCAAGCAAAATATCCACTAGAAAAACACTTACCTTACTGTACCTTTGCTGAAGTTTGGAATGTCACGTGCTTGGCCACTACTCAGAATGCAGCACTAGAAAAAAATAAAATGTGGTTAAAAAATAAAAAAGACCATGGGAAGGGAGAGGTCAACAGTTAAGAGAAAATGCTTCTAAGCAATGTGAAAGAGTTATAGAATTTCAGATTGGAAGTGAATCCACTAGTTGCAAGACTGAACTTTCATGTTACTAGCAATAAGGGCACAGGGATTCAGAAAAGCTAAGTTATCTGTCACTAAGGACTGGGGATATGGCTCAGTATGTAGAGTCCTGCCGCAAGTACAAGAACCTCAGTTCTATCTCGAGAATTCACATTAAAAAGCCTGGCATGGTGGTGCACAACTGTAATTCGAGCACTTGCAAGATGGAGACAGAGGAGGCATCCCAGAGTTTCAGGCATGTGGGAAAATTTATTAAAGGGGGTGGGGATGTGGGTGGGAAGAACTGAACCTAACTGGCTCTTGGTTCTGTAGCTTCACTTCTCAAGACTCCCTAAGCTCAAGCTGACAAAGAGAGTCACCAACGAAAGTGAGAACAATGACATTCCCATCCCTCCCTTTTCAGCCCCACTTATTTTTAAAGGGAAGTCATATATTTAATATCCCAAAGGCCTTGCATTCCACCTTGCCCCAAACCATTCAAGAACATACTCATGAGATGACTTCATGAAGAACCCCATCTTATACATGGAAATAATGAAATGCTAAGGAAATCCCTCTACTCCAATCAATTGTAGCACCTACTTCAAAGCTGTAGCACTAAGTCACAACCTTAGAGAAATTACCAAATTAGTGTTCTGTTGTGATAAATACCATGATCAAAAGCTCATGGAGAGGATAGGGTTTATTTCACCTTATGGGTTATAGTTCATCACTGAGGGAAGTTGAGGCAGGAATTAAAGCAGAGACCACAAGGCAACACAGCTTACTACCTTGCCCCTTACAATCAGCTTAGCTACCTTTATATGTCTCAGGGTTACCCGTCTAGGAATAACTCTGCCCATAGAGGGCTAGGTTGTCACATCTATCAGAGATCAAGCACATTTCCTAGGGACATGACGATAGGTAAATCTGATGGAAGCAGTTTTTCAACAGAGATTCCTTCATCCCAGGTATGTCTAAGTGTGTGGCAATTTGACAAAACCTGTGAGCACATGAAGCACTTTTTAAAAATTTAATCTAATTTTTAATGATTATGTGCATGTATATGGAAAATTGAAGCCAACCTTAGGAACACTTTCTACTTCCTTTGAAGCAGGTCATCTCATCAGCTTGAAGTTCATTTGTTAGGCTAGGTAAGCTGGCTGTTAGGGCCCAAGGATATGTAATTCTCTGTGTTCCCAGTCTAGACTTATAAGCGTGTGCCATCACATCCAGCATCTTCAAGTGGTCCTGGAGACCAAACTCAGGTACTTATGCTGATGTGTCAAGCACTTTATCCACCTGACACCAGCCCAGGAAGCACTTTTAAAGGTTAATCATGAAAAGAAGAGTAGCACCATGGAAAGAAAGCAGAGAGGAAGCCCATGGATGCAAAGGATGCTGCTGTGAAGGTGTGAAGGAAGTAGGCATCATAGGAAAGCAAATGTGACCAGGACTACACAGAAGAAACAGGTAAGAAAGAGCAGCTTCAAAAGGAGAAGTAGGAGGGAGCATCCAGTCACACACAATGGTCTTTCTTAGCAAGGAAGAAGGAATTGAAACAAACTCTGCAAGTTTGCCCTGTGACACGAGCTCAGAGATGTACTGAAAACTTTAAGGTTTTTATAGCAAATGGAAATTGTAATTCAAATGTCAAAATAGATCTACATTGTGTTCATTTAAGTCTGCAATTAATAAGATGGGGGAAAACGAGAAGCCTGGGCACATGGTCATTTTGAGAGCCACTTCTCATGGATCATTAGATATCTGCCATCTGGCCACCTGCTCTTCCTTGGGCCTCTCCCTGTACTGCTGCTCACAGTGTGGGAACCACTAATGGACTCTTGTCTAGTTGAACCTGACATGAACAAAGTGTTAAGAACCCTTACTCTCCTGGGAACCCTTGATTAAGAAGAGTATGTGACAAAAGGAAGGATTAGGGCTAAACAGTCTATGACATACATGAATTTTACAAACAGGGAAGCCGAGTCTTAGGTATGGGGTGGGAATTAGGTCATCAGCCTAAATCCTGAGTCTTGTTTTGTTTGAGTGTTCTACCTTTGCATTATTGTACTTGCTACATAATCACTAGGACTTTTATGTATTCTTTACAGCAACATTTCCTTGGAAATGAACATGTATTTCCAACCACACATAAGCACTTCTGGAGATGTGGTCCAATGAAACTTTAGTGGGAGAAGGCATTACTTCTTTCCCTCATTACCATCTAACAAGTAGTTTCTTCATGTTACACTGGTGAGTATAGAGTTCATTTGCCACTGTTGATGTCCTCATAGAAACCAACATCAGTATTACAAGCATGTATAACCATGGTTGGCTTTTCAAGTTTGTCCTAAAGATTGAATTCAAAGAGCAAATGCATAGATAGGGGATTCTTTTCACATGCAGGCAAGTCATCTCCCAAAGGGATTCCACTAACATGCAGGCTGATCATCTTCTATTGCTCTACCATCTTCCACAGAGCAGTCACTGAATCAACATCCACCATTTGGATTTCATTGTTAAAATTGGTTACGTCTGCCAGAGCAGACTTTGGTCAACAACCTCATCGTGTTTGTATAATTTACAACCAGGGCTACTGACTTGCTCATATGTTCTATCCAGATTGCTTGGACAAGTCAATACATAGCTATGAATAATGCAAAATTACACAAAATTACAATAATGTGGCAATAGCACTTGAGGAGTAAATCATGAAATTATCTGTTAATGTAAATTTCTGTTCACTAAATATATTTGGTAGCAATCCCTGAGGCTGAAGACCCCAAAGTTTTTCTGTATCGGATACACCAAAGTATTCATTTTGAAAACTAGCAAATGTGCTGACTTCCATCCTGGCTTTAAATACATTCTATTGTCAATTAATTGTGCATGGCATTCACAGAGAGTAAGCTTTAAATCTCTGACTGTAGAAGATTGACTTTTGCAAATCTTAATAACTATGGTTCAGAAGGTTACAAACTCAGAATATGACTGACCATGCCAAAGATGGCTGTTTTAATTATGCAGATAGCTGAAAATAGAAGGCCACAAAGATGGGGACAGAATAATAATCATGATGTCTGGAAGACAGATTTCTTTCCATGGTACTACGACCTACTCCTTTTATTGATAACATGTAAAAGTTAGGCTGTCCTGTCCACTTTTGAAGTAATAGTGTTTTTCTGGATTTATCCAAAGTGACTCCAGGAACTGTGGGGAAGTGGGAATTCTGAACCTTCAGAATGATAGTCTGACAGGATTCATTTCCTTAAACCTTTACTGAAAAAACTTTGCTACTTTCTAATTATTTGAGTATGAACATTTCTCTCCACAAAGACACAAAACATCAAGTTAGATATTCTTTTTTTTTGGCAATTGAAGTGGATGACAAATGAGTCCCTAGTTATCTTATTTAGATAGGATTGAATCTGCTCACAGTCTTGAAATAACTGGGCTTAATTAACTAATTTAACTCTTAAATTTGTCTGAATTTAGATACTAGACCCTTAGGGATAATCAAAATATTCCCATTTTAATTTCCAAGTTTGCCAACCTACTTTATTTGAAGGCAAAAATAACAAGTACTTTTTCATAATTGAGACTGAAAGCCTTTTCTATAGGTATATAGCCCCCAAACTCAGAGATTAGGCAATGCCTATCCACATTACGTTCTTGTTGATGCTCATGCAGAAGCCACCCCTTCCCTGATTTGTCCATTGTCTCACTTCTCATCAGTTCACTCACAGTAGGGGAAGACACAGCAATTTACATCATGAAATGATTCTTTGTGGGTCTATGTGTGCATGTACACACATGCATATGGAAGCAAGAGGTCAACTTTGGGTGCTGTTCCTCAGGTGTCATCTACCTTGTGTTTTTGACACAGGGTCCCTCATTGGACCTGGGGCTCACTGAATAGGCTAGACTAACTGGCCATTGAGTTCTTGGGACCATCCTGTCTCCACCTTTCTAGCTCTGGGATTAAAAGGGAATGCCATCACACATGTTTCTCATGTAGGTGCCAAGGATGAAACTCAGGTCACTCGGCTTACTCAGAAGGCACTTTATCAAGTGATCTATCCTTGAACCTTAAAATGGTTCTTTCAATAAAACAACCTCATATAAGAGAACACAAAACCGCAGCAGGTGAAAGGAGTTGGGAGAATGTTGGTCATCATTTTCTATTCGTAAAGGAAATACATAGGTCTAGTAACTGTTCCAAAGTATAGTCCATTAAGTAAATGGCATGGCTGGAATGCAAGCTTGCCACCCTCCTTTTCAAAATTAAATGCCATATCATGTTAGTTGGAACAAACAAAACAAATATTTACCAAAATTTTGTCCTGGTTTGTTTGCTGTTACTGTAAAAAACACCATTGCCACAAGCAACTTGGGGAGGAAAAGGCTTACTTGACATAAAAGTTCCAGTTCACAGTTAGTGGAATTGACACAGCGGCTATAGAGGCATGCTGTTTACTGGTTTGACCAAACACCTTCTTATTCAGCCCAGGACCACTTGCCTATGGGCGATACTGCATCTTTATGGGAATAAAAGAACTGTGTATCCTCAAAGTAATTAGAAAATAGAGAAGATTTTGTTTCAGCAAAGTTTTAAGGAAAAGAATCCTGTCAGATTGTCATCTTGAAAGTCTCCCATCCATGTACTAACCAGGCCTCCTGGAGTCACTATGGTCAAATCCAAAAAGAGACTACTACTTCAAAAGAGACATCAACTAGAAAATGTATAGATTTAACATAGCATTAGAAAAATTAATGATTTAATGAGGTAGCATAGAACCTTATAAAAATCAAAGTGTAGATAAAGCTTGTTGGCTGTAGCAGGAAATTATAATGTTACTTCAATTTATTTCATTTAATTTTAAAAGAT